CCTTGCAGAACGGGTCTTGTTTGCCAAACGTCTGGGCGTCGAACAGGTCTTTGCCGGCCTTCACGCGGATGCTGAGCTCGAACGCCTTGCCCTTGCCAGACGCGAGCGCTAGCGGCACCGCCGCACCACCCGTCGCCGACACTTCCACCAATTGCACCGCCAGCAGAATCTCGCCTCGCTGCTTGCCGCCGTGGTTCACGGGGTACCATTGCTCCACCGACCGACCTCCCGACCAAATGCTCACGGGGAGCTGGCACGTCCCGATGCTCGAGTTGCTCACTGTATTGGAGTCTTCGATGTGGATGGTCAGCTGGTCCAAGTGCGGGTCCGTGAGTCTGAACACGAACGCTTCGTCCCACTTGGGGTTGCGGCCGCCGTTGTCGTGCACCCTTGTCTGGAACGTCTTGTCGCCGATGGTGACCTTGCAGAACGGGTCTTGTTTGCCAAACGTCTGGGCGTCGAACAGGTCTTTGCCGGCCTTCACGCGGATGCTGAGCTCGAACGCCTTGCCCTTGCCAGACGCGAGCGCTAGCGGCACCGCCGCACCACCCGTCGCCGACACTTCCACCAATTGCACCGCCAGCAGAATCTCGCCTCGCTGCTTGCCGCCGTGGTTCACGGGGTACCATTGCTCCACCGACCGACCTCCCGACCAAATGCTCACGGGGAGCTGGCACGTCCCGATGCTCGAGTTGCTCACTGTATTGGAGTCTTCGATGTGGATGGTCAGCTGGTCCAAGTGCGGGTCCGTGAGTCTGAACACGAACGCTTCGTCCCACTTGGGGTTGCGGCCGCCGTTGTCGTGCACCCTTGTCTGGAACGTCTTGTCGCCGATGGTGACCTTGCAGAACGGGTCTTGTTTGCCAAACGTCTGGGCGTCGAACAGGTCTTTGCCGGCCTTCACGCGGATGTTGAATTCGAAACTCTTGTTTGTCGATTGTTGAGTATTTGGTTGGATTGCTAGTGTCGCTTCATTCTGCTGTAGGTTTGGTTGTTGTTGTCGTAGGGTTGCCAATATGTGCAATTCCCCAGCCTTCTTTGTGCCTGTTTGAAGTGGAATCCAAGTGTCCTTGGTCTGACCATGACATAACGTTGAGATGGGTAGTTCGCAATTGCAAATCACAGAGCCATTCTTGACGTAGTTTGGATCTTTGATGACCAACTGGAGTATCTCGGTGTTGGCATCAGTAATCGGGATTGTAAAGGTTTCGTGCCAAGTTGGGGCTCGTGCATTGGAGTTGCCTTTAGTGCTGAAGGTATGGTTGCCCATGACAAGTGCACACATCGGGTTTGGTTTTCCAAGGATGTTGATGCTGGCCAAGTTCCGTGCCTCGACAACCTGAATTTCGAGCTCCATGGGGCCACAAATTTGTTAGGGGTGACTTCGTTGATCGACTTGACGCATGCAGTTGGCGTGGCAAATATTTTCTCTGTCGGAGGTTGCCGGCAGTTACATGTACCCCGCACATTCCATTAAAAGACGCGAAAGCGATTAACAGTAACAACACCGTCGAGTTGAAAAGGAGGAATATGTCCACAACACAGATTCAACTTGTGGTGGAGCTATCAATACAGTACAACCCATAAATTGGGTGAACGTTCTTACCCCATCAGTGATCTACCCATGTGTTTATGCCTCGAGGTTGAAATTCCTTACATTCCATGGCCTAAATTAGCTGTCGCGTCGATTATATGTGAAACACGAAGACACACACAACCAAAATGGCGCGTCAATATGGCTACAACGAAGATGACAAAGGATGGTAGAGGAGTGAACTGATAAAGGTATGCATGAATACCGGTGTGGGTATATGTAATAGGTCTCAGAATCAGAATACGTTTTGATACGACTATGTGTTTTACAATTTCAACTATATTGCGAGACCAACGGCACGCAATTGACTAGCCGAGGGTCCCACCGCACATATTGTGGATTGGGTTTTGGGATCGCATACGACCGCCATGTTTGACATCGAGGACGTACAATGTCGGGCCAAACCCCACGACAACCAGTCCGTTTAAGAACGCGCTGGATTTGTCCATGTACAGGACACCTCCGACGGTCCACTCGTCAAACGAAAACGTGTACCCGCCCAGCGAGTACAGAACCAGCGACGGCAGCCTTGGCACTGGTACGTGGGGGTCTCGCTGTCACTGGATAATACCGAGCGACAACACAATACACACGATGGGAAGGCCCACAAGGGTGTACGCTCGAACAAACTGCCAATTTCGACGACGCCGTATGTGCACTTGACGTCCAGATCTCGCCACGAGCACGCTCGCACCAGCTTAGTCTGGACCGTCAACGGCACGGTGAGCTGCAGGAGCGCCGTGGCAGTAGTGACGTGTGTAGCCCTTGGTAACAACGGACAAGACGTCGTTGAGGATATACGTGTGCCAGCACACTTCGGCAGATACGATGATCGTTTGCAAGTCGCCTACGACTTGAGGCAACATGGACTCGAACTTGGTGAAGTACCCGGGATGGTCGCTCTGCACGAGAGCCAATTGGCTCGTGCTGAGCAGGCAGATAGCAGAGATGGCCCGAAGGGTGAGCATGGGGCAATCCCCCTCCACGTGGTTGAGTTTCAATAAATTCCACGCCTCCACGCGGCCGCGATGCCTCACGACGTACAGAAGCGCCATGCTCGCGACCCAAACGTGACGTACTGAATGGCCACCGTATAGTACAACGACCACCGGCGGTAGTCGGACCGTACGGTGATGGTCGCGACGTCGCCTTCAAACGACAGCACGTCCCTGTACCCCTTGGTCCAGTGGTAGAGGAAATGCCAGGTGTAAAACGAAAACGGCCCCATCGCAACAATGTTGGCTGTGACGAGGTCCAAGGCTCCGGTGTCCAGGTCCTCACGTTGAGCGCCACCACGTTGGCTAAGATCGCGTCCGCATCGCCTAATAGGTCGGCGGCAATGGCCAGAAAGGTGCTGACGAACGGGACTTACGTCTCTAACATCGAAACACACCCAGCGGGCTGCGCCGGGTAATCACATACTGATGTGTTTATGTCGTAACTCTGTACGCGGGTCATGACGATGGCGAGGATTCCTTCGTTGCGAGACATGTGATACGTTTCTTGCAGCGGTTTGCTTTGGCACGGCGAGACAATCCCGGCCAACGGACAGAGGAAGCCGGGGTCAGTCGACACTGCAAAGCACAGCGGACTGCCGCCGCGAAAGTCGTAGCGTCGCCACTCCACTCCGCCAACTCATTGTAGCTCAACGTGGCGTTCAACGACGTGAATAACAGCGTATTCAAATGGCATTCAAACATACGAACGAGGTCAGCGACTGCTTCTGGACCAGCAAGTGTGGGACGTCTACAGAGCCATACCGGCCCAGACGTTGCTCCAACAAGATCGACGCCCATCCCAGATCCCAGGGGCGACGGCTTGCAGCACCTGTCGCATGGTTTGGTTATGAAACGCAAAGCCTGCGCTGAAACGAATCAACGAACGGTCACTAACCGCCGACGTGTTGGACTCCATACCCCACAAGTCGCTCGCTCATGCCCAGTACATTGTAAATGAGCTCTCTTTCGGCAGTCGCAACAATGGGTCGCTTCGCTTGATCGTGAGGGTGTACTGCGTTCCAAACGAATTCTGCACCGCCGACGTGTCGTGAATTTCGTGAGGTAATAGTTTTGCCACTGCAAGTCGAAGCTCGTCAGGCTGTATGCCTGCCACGACCCTACTTCTGTCGCCACACTCCTAGCCGAAATTCCCCACATTTGCTGTAGCCACCCTTTCCCCAGCTCGGCTCTTACGAAATTCGTCGCCGATGGCGATCGAGAAGGAATACGCCCAACACGCGTCAAACGAGTCCAAGTCGATGTTTCGTAGCACCTACGCCAAGTACACGGCGGCGTTGAAAGCTGCATAGGCGACACACCGTTGTTACCGCAGCCGAGAATTGGCCAACTCCCATTTCCTGTCAAAGTCCACCCAGCAATACTGTGTGGCTAGCCACGGCACCCCCCCAAGCATCCGTGCATGGAGCGAAGCCCTAAACATTGATCCATACTTGAGCTACGTCGATGATATAAAGATGAGTTGCGAAACCTCTTTAATATTGTGTTGTACCCTGTATGGCGACGTTGGTCGATGCTTGTGCTAGGAATGTTCATGCTATGGGGCAGCGAAAAGTCCACAGCGTCGTTTGTCGTGTTGAATGCTCCGTAGATTGGAAGCGCTGTCAAGTCCATGTCCCCGGTCTTGTACTGGGACGTTAACAACGACGCTAGAAACCGATGCCCCCCCGTGGAATTGAACCCTTGCCACCAAAAGTCGTTGGACATTTTCCCTTCCAGCACCATAAGGTACATGACACTGCTGGCTAGTGTACCCACAATGTACGCAAACCCAACGACAAGCAACAGGGACGACCACCACGACGTCGGGGCCACCGTGGGCGGGTCTGCGACGGTGCAGGGAGCGGTAAGGGTTGGCGGACGCATAACGGGGGAACTTCCACGAAGTTGTTCAAAAAAGATGAGCGACGACTCGGGGTAGAGGAGCAAGGTTCGGGGAAGGATTTTGTAAAGGTCGCAAGCGGGGTTTGGTGGGTAAACTCGACGAAAAAATAGGTTCCATCACATACCACGATGCTTGTGCCGAGGAAGAGCAGCGCCCGCATCGTGCTGCCGCTGTGAATCGCGTTGGTGTTGCACACGAATGTTGTGTCGAACGCCAGTGTCGTGCACTCGCGATGGATGGCCACCACGGCTTGCAATGGGAACTCCATGTCCAATACGATGGCAAGAACGAATAAAACGAGGCTGCTCATCGGTGCCGCGAGCGCAGCGCAGTCATTTGTGGCCACCAACGACACGTCCAAAAGAACGTTCGTGACCCACGTCGACTCTGCCGCGACACGAGGAAGGTGTGGGGCCGATTGACCAGCGTGCTCAGTCCGTGCTGCTGCACCATGTCCGGTGAGGACGAGCTGAGAAGGATCACCGCGGTAAGGCCGTGCAGAAACAGAAAGGGCCTCCAGATCCAGATCGGCCCCGCCACCCGATGAAAGAACAACATGTTGTGGCCAGATATTTGAAAGCTGTAGAACGCAGCGACACCCACCATGCAGAATTCGGCGATGCCAAACATCCACGAGACGTACCAAACTCCAAACCCGAACAAGGTGGCGATGCTGCGGGGCAGCGCGTTCGAGTTAAGTACCGTGCTGTCGACGCTTGAGGCCACGTCATACGGGTACGATATGAGCCGCAGCGTGGCGACGTCGCCGGCAAACGACACCACTTCGCGACTCCCTTCGACCCAGTCCAACAGATATGCCCACCCAAGGATGCTGTACACTGGATCTGTTGGGTCTAGAAGTGCATGGTGCAATAGAAATGACGCCGACTGGTCATAGTCACGGCGAGTCGCCGCGCATTGTCGCAGCCGTCATCAAAGCCCCATTCCCGTTGCGGAAATGCAGTAGGAATCGTGTTTGCGTTGCCAACAAACTGCCCCCCAGGAACGCTGTGTCGTTCAACGCCGACCACTTGGAAATGGCGAGAAAAGGTCGATCGACAGCGAACCCGTCCACATTATCCAGCTGGGCAGTGTTCAGAATCATACGAAACAAAAAATACATACAACGCCTTGAGCGTCGGTGGGACCGGTACCAAGAAATTGTCAAACGAGTTGAAGGGGCCAATGTATGGCATATTGTACGGCTGTATAGTTTTCGTTCCCGATCATCTCGATGCTTGCCACCAAAATTGGGGGTCTGTCCGAATCAAGCTTCCATTCACGCATTTCGCGCACCATAAATCATAGTAAAAGCCACAGCAGAGGTTAACTGTTGTCCAGAACGCTTGGCGGGGCTGGAAGGGCAGCACCATCACAGCCAACTTGTGCACACCGCCCAATGTTGGCTGTATCCACGCGTATTCTTGTATACCGTGCTGCTTGGAGTTCTGGTACTGTGTCAGCCATGTGGTCACGTTGAACGACGCCAAGTACGTAACTTCGTCTTCCGTCGAAAGAAACGGGCGCTGCGACATAGAGTCCAAGTACCCCCTGCCCTCGGGGGACGTTGTGAGGAATCGGCGGAGGCCAACGTCGAACTCGCCACCGTCGGTCCAGATAAGCACGATGAGCTCGTCCATGTCTGTGTTCCGCGTGATGGCTTCCACATACAGAGCACCGTTATGTTGGTATGTCGAGAGGCGCCTTCGGAAGTCGACCCAACATACTGGGTGGTCACCCACACGAGTCGTAACGTGTACGTATTTCGACACAACGGAATCGCCACTGCCGGACTTAACGATCCGAAGGCTAGACTGCGGACGTAGGCGGGGCTGCTGGGCGCGGGCACGGGCGCGTCCATGACAAACAAATTGGACGTCAAATCGATTGCGGCAAGGCCGATCGTGTCCACGTTGTGAAGCGTGTCCATGGATAGCATGCAGCAAAAACGCATGCACGGACGAGTTAAACCCGCGCCACCAAAAGTCGGTCGTCATGATCGGGCCAAGCAGGATCGCATACCTGCACGAATTCACGAGGACCCCTGCCAAGAACAAGAACATGATGCCAGCAAACGGCACTATGTGCTATCTCGAAAAATTCCACGCCATCAGTAAGTTGGATGGGGTGTTGTCCATTGTCGCATAATGGTGGGGCGAGGTGGAAGTATTTGTCGGAGAGCTCCTCGTCGACGTCGAGGAAGTACAATTGTCTCTGCAGTCGACAATGGCATCACTTGGCCGGCCATGGAAACCCACAACGCAGCAGTATTATGCACCAGCTGTCGGATTCAACACTTCGCACGTAAAACGGTTTATATCATCACTTTTCCAACAAGCATGCACTCTTTAAAGCCGATGATTACGTCGACAACGAAACCTCCAAGGACAAACAAATACAGTGCACTTTTGGACGTGAAATCCTGCAACTTGCTACGGGTTAGGGATGGTGTTCGAGTAAAACGTTGCGTTCGTGTACGCAACATGTTGGTACGGTAGTGGACAATACGGAAACACGATGTGGTCCGCCGTCGAGGCCAGCAATTGTCTTCCGCTCTGCACTGTCACGTACATACTCAAGACGCTGCAAACGCCGATCGTAAAGTAGCAAAACGCCCGTTCGACGATGCCAATGTCGGCATGGCATACCTTGAGGTAGCACAGGATTGGCAGCACAATGCAGCTCAGAGACACTGACGAAGCGCCCACCAAGTCGACCAGTTCGTGAAAGTGATCGTGGAGAACCACCGACACCACTGTGAGCGCGGCCACCATACTTGTGCGGAGTATACAGCACGCAACAAGGTTCGACGACGAGTCAGATTTTGGCACGTCTTCTTCGTCGGGAAGGGTTGACGACACGGACGACGAGCTTTGGGTTCGGAGGCCAGACAAAGAACTGGCATCATCACTCTCGTCGGATTCTGCAGGGTTCGCCAGAGTAGCTGCTTCCATGGCACTCGGTGGATGTGGCGGAGCGTCAGCAGGTCGCGGTAGCTTTGATGGGTTGCTGTGGGACGCAGCGAACGTATTCGTAGAGTCGTGGTCGTTATCGGATGTTGAACAAGTGTCGGAATCGGAGAGGGCTTGAAAAGTTGGTGGCGGGGACATGTGGAGCCCCAACACCGCCTGCTCGGCGTAGTAGAACGCAGGATGCAACAGTACCGAGAACCCAATTGTGATGTGCAGCTGCATGGCCATGAAGGCCAAGACCACCACCCCTCGTTCAGCCGTGAAACCGAGCTCGGGGCCCGAGATCGCAAAGAGGAGGTTGCCTGGTATTTGGCATCCCACCATGGCATACCCCGTGGATGCGATCGCTACAAAGAGCACGGTGACGATAGTCATGGTCACAAAGACCACGCGAGGCATGCGCGACGGCTGCGAGTGCTGGCGCTGCAGGTCCGGGATGACAATGGCGGCGCCGTACGCCAACGACAAGTTGCCAAACGTGGACGCGATGCTGTCGAACGAGATCGCTGGCGTCGGCACGGACACTGGGGTGGCATGGTAGAGATGGTGAACCAGCACACCCAGCGCCATAAAGTCGGCCAGGATTGTGCCAAGGCAACCGGCCAGCGCCGCCCCCGCGCCTTCCTTCATCGTCGGAATCAACGCGATGGGCAGAATGGAAATCGACATGAGGATGCTCCACATGACTGGAGGGAATGCGTCGGGGATGATCACGTCGAGCAGCTTCCCGCCAAGCACGAGGAACGCGCACGGGACAAACAGACATACGCCCATCTGCGACATGACGACCGCCACGCGGCCGCGGGGACCGAGCGCGAATTCTCCCTACAGTAACGTTATATGTCAATGGTAAAGATGCATGGTGGTCGAGTTCAAATGCAAGCACAAATGCGACGACGTACGAGATCTGCAAATGTCTTGACAGAGCGTGGAGCCAAGAGCATGACTCGGCTGCACTTGACCGATGCATACACGTTCACGAGCCCCATGTAAGCCAGGGCAACGATGCCACACACCGGGCCAGCACGTGCAAAGTTTCCTGGCATGCCCAATGTGCCGATGCCATAGACGCAGCAGAACAGATTGAAGGACGCCTTCGCGTCTTCAATTGTGAAGTACCGAGAGGACGCTCTTGGGGATGTTGCCATCGTGATGTCGCGTAACTGTTCCACGAGATGATCCGATGCAAAGTGTTCACTGGTAGAAAGTTATTCATTATAGCCAATCAATGCAAAGCATTCCCACATACTTAACTGTAAGTATATTGGAAGAATGCCAAAAGTCTACACATCTTTTCAGTAAAGTACTGTACATACAGTAGTACTACGTCGTACTTCCTCTGTTCCAAAATACTATTGTGGGTATTTTATAGTGCGGCCTATACTTGGAAATCGTATTGGAAGTTGCACTAGGATGTGATATACTTCTGAGAATTTTCGTATTTTTATTCAAATATGCATTTTTACGACCAAATGGGTGAGGATATGACGCACACAGTCATGGGAAAGCAGGCATAAAGCACAGATCATATCGATATGAGCTTCCATAAGAAGACCTATGTCGCGAAATACAAATGCACAAGCCTTCTATTGACATCTACTGCTTTTGTCGCATAAGGCATCACGACACTTGGCTCAGATTTCAGATCATTCAACGCAATGTTTAGCATATTGATGGAACAACTATAAAGGGTAAAATAAGTCTGCACAAGCACCAGGTTGATAAGATTTGCAATAGAATTGGCTATAATAAAGGAATAGATGCATTCATAGTGGCCATTATTGACTTACTCGCGAGTTCGAAGTGCTGTTGTTCATGTTTCCCCAGGAAAAAACGCTCCACGACCAGGTCTTCCGAATCTTGCAACATAGATATCTCGGTATGTAGTGTGATTTAGACGATTTGGAGGATAGCTAGCTATATCTACGCATGAATACGAGTCGTTTGAGCCTACAATCTCCAGAATCGGACCAGAAATGAATGAATGGCCGAGATTTAAAGTAAAAGATCTGATTATACTTTCTTGTATGGAGTCGATCTCATCCTCGACTGCGAATAAAATTAAACAAAAAATGTCCTTGTTCCACATGGAATAGGCTACAAAACAAACCTAATTAGGGACAAATAGCGAATAAACTTCATAAAATATGTTCCCTGTTAGTCCCGTAAACCCACAATAGTATTCTGTCTCACTACTGTACTGTACTAGTATTTGCTTGGTGCATGCCTACGAGCTTGTAACATGAAATGCGACGAGATATTACGTATGTGGGGCAGTCTGTCACTGTTGGCACAAGGGGGGGTGCTTGGTTTTAGTTAGTCTACTGCTCTTCATAATTGTACGGATCCTTTTCGGCCTTTGGCGCAAGCACCGGCGCTGGCAATGGCTCGCCCTTGGCCACGATGAACGTCGGGAAAGGAGGGGTTGCAGACTCTTCAAATTTCTTCTTGCGGGCATCCGTGACGCGCACGACACCGCCTGGGGCGCCGGGGACCGACCCCTTGACGTACAACAGGTTGCGTTCGGGGTCGATCTTCAAGATCCACAGGTTGTCGCGGGTGACACGCTTGCCACCCATGCGCCCAGGCATCTTCTTGCCCTTCCACACCTTACCAGGGTCCTATACGAAGAGTCAATATGATGTTCTAGAAAGAATGCCAGGCACAAGCTAGACTACGACGCACTTGACACTGGCCAGCAGAACCCATGGCACGATGGGCCAACGAATTCCCGTGCGATGCAGGCTGCCCACCAAAGTTGTGGCGCTTCATCACGCCTTGGAACCCCTTGCCCTTGGAGGTGCCGCACACGTCGATGAATTGACCTGGAGAGAAGTGCAAAGCGTTCAACGTGGTACCGGCGGGAATGAGCGCGTCGTCTGAGACGCGGAACTCGTGCAGTTCGCGCTTGGCAGGCACACCAGCCTTGGCCAAATGGCCCAACACCGGCTTGGTGATGTTGCGTTCCTTGCGGAGGCCGACGCCGAGTTGGAGAGAGGTAAAGCCGTGCACTTCCTTCGTCTTGACTTGGGTGACTTGGCACTCTTCAACCTGAAGGACAGTCACGGGATGGGCAAGACCCCAGTCGTCGTAGATGTGCATGGATCCCATCTTAACGGCAAGGAGACCGGTGCGCTTCGAGTCGGATGACCACGGCTTGTTCTCCAAGGATATGGCGGGAGGAGCGACCGAGGTGGTAGATGCGGCAGCGGCTGAGGTGCTGGACATGGCAGCATGCTTCTGCACTTGCATCCACGAGGACCCTTGGACCCGCGACAGTGTCCGCGATAGAAGCATCTTCGTAGAGGGGACGGCTACCAATTCTTCAATGCTTGACCACCGAATTACATGACCCTTGCGGATTGGTGGGATATGACCAATCAGAGATCAATATTCTTGTACTACTACGAATTAAAATAACCAGAATTCGTCTTGGAAAATTTATGGAATACAATATTCAACCATACTAAAAATGATTTAGTATTACTGAACCTGGAACAGTCGATACGTACGAAAAACGACAGCCTCCGATAACACATAACAACTTGCGCGAAACGGCGCGAATGGAGCGATGACCCGTAGCAACGCCAAGGTCACGTTTCACCTGCCCTTCATCCATGGGGACAAAGCCAAATCCACGCAGACCAAGGAAGAACAAGTGAATCGTCTCAACAGCTTTTGGTTCTGCGAAGCGCAGCGACCACCTTCGATCACCGACAAAGACGACAGAGTTGAAGCACCCAAGGCCAGCAACATATACGTCACCGAAAACCGGCGTCTTCAATCCCTCCTCGTACGTCGAAAGCCACAACATCGCGTCAAGTATGCCTACGTATACCGCTATATGGTTGTATGCATCCATACACGTCCCCCATAGGCCGAAAAAAGTGCCGCGGCCTCGCATCGTCGACGACTTGATTTCATTGGAATACCGATATCAACAGGTCAGTGGGTCTGGTCCTCCAGAATGAACATTGCTCATGAAGCACCAACATACAGAGCGCCAAGGTTGTGCAGCGAGCGTGGCGGCGGTTCAGTGCGCGGAGTTTCTGGCAACGGTACTTTCTTGCCATTAAAGCCGCAGTCACCATCCAAGTATGTGTACCCTGCAACGTATCATGCACTTTTCCTTGGCCTTACTTTACATAGCGCCATGTCCGAGGCATCCTCTGTCGCAAGTTCGTCAGAGTGTGGTACCGCTCCCGCTTACGCTTTGTCTCCAAGATACAAGCGGTGTTCCGTGGTCACTTGTCCCGGCGCGTCTTACAGTCGCAGCTCCAATGGGAACATTACAACGTCAATGTGATCCAACGGTGGAGTCGAGGGCACTTTGGCCGACGGCGGGCACGGGCAGCGAGGCGTCACATGGCAGCGGAACGGATTCAGTGCCTGTGGCGCGGCGTCCAGAGTCGCCAGCAGTCGGATCGCCTGTGGCTTGGCGCCAAGGCCACCACGATCCAACGACACATGCGAGGATTCCTCGCACGAAAACACACTCAATGCCAAAGCCAGCGGTGCCACGCTGCGGCCGTCGCGATGCAAAGGCTCTTCCGAGGCACTTTGGTATGATATTTATCGTACGGAAGAGATGGAATGTTGATGGCGGCTGGATGGCGGTGTAGGCGCGCACCCGCATCGATGCAATGCTGCGGGATCGAGAAACCCACAACCGCAAGGTCGTGATGAACGTTCTGGACGCGGAGATTGCGTGGCAGACGGCGTACATCGACAAGCTGCAGCGCCGACTAGCTAAATCTCGCTTGGAGGTCACGTACGTCGCAGAAACGATGTCACATGAATATGTCCTTTATAAGTATTTTGGTGACGATCGCACAGTGTGGTGGAATTGGAAGTCGAGCTGCACCGCCTTCACGTGCAGATCAACGATGTACGAGACGGGTCGGGTGTTGGTTGATTGACGAGCTAATATTGGACGAGGATGTAGATGGAGTGCATTTACATCGACATGTCGGACCAGCGAGCGAAAATGTCGCCACGCGCCATCACCGACGGATGGCTCAGTGAAATGGAGATGAAAATGGCCACGCAACGCCGCATGATCACCGCCGCCAAGTTGGACGCTATCTTTGGCCATGGATACACGTTCAAGCAGCACGATGCCAAGCTCACCGACCATCGCGACCGGCTGGCGCGGGCTACATTCCGCAAACATCAAGTTCGTCCAATCTTTGAGTTATTTATCATGTTTGTTGCATGTGACAAGAGTGGTTAGTTGGTCAAGTGGCGAACCGAAGAATTTGTCGACTATTGGACGGTATGTATAGTTTTCTACTGTCATTCGTGGGTGCAGGACAAAGTGCTCGGTCGTATCGACGTACTAGTATACGATAGCACTTGGTCATAACAATGCATATTTTTTTATGGATCGATCATAGAGGGAAATGAACCATTTGGCACGTGTGCGAGACGAAGCACATCGTCGCAACGTTGCCGAGCAACGCCGCAAATGGGCAGTGAAATTCTACAACAAGTCGGGCAAAGTCCAGCTGCACCGCCCCGCGCCTCGAGTGGACACGACGTTTTCCATGGCCAACACCAACCTCCTAGCAACTTCGTCCGCAACGACTGACTCGTCGGATGATGTTATCGCCACCCTCTCGGACCAAGTCAAACTCGTGACAGTGCAGTCCCAGTTGGCCCAAGCCACGGAAATGTTCACCCCTCTGCTCCAGCGCTTCTCGTCCACACACTCGGCCGTGCACCAAATGACCCGTGACTGCAAACCCAACCTACCACCACTTGCAGACAACTTCGTCAACCAAGCAGCAGCTGAAGCTCAAGTCTCGTCAGATTCTGTGACCACAATGCCTATTTCCCCCACAAAGTCAAAATTGAAGTCTCCGACCAAGGCACAAGCGTCCCTACTAGCACCCCCCAAGCCCCCCCTCCGATCTGCCACTGTACCGTGGTCGCTCTTGGATCAGCTCGAAGCAGAAAAAGTCAAGTTCAAAACTGAACAAGCGGCGCGCAAAGCTGGATTTACTACAAATAAACACAGAAAGGAGGTGCCAGTACCCTCAAACTCTTAAATAGCGGATCTATTGGCCTCTTGTTGTGAGGAACTGCTCCAAGTTGTAACGGGGACACATTCACGCTGCATTGCTACAGTATCATCGCCAGTGAATACAACTCCTTTATGTATGTATTCAGAGTTACATTAGCCATGATCGATAGGAAACGGAACAAGTATGTACATGGTACTGCAGTATACCGTTAGTCGACTAAGGTTGTGCCCGCATATAAATAACAAGAGGCATTGGTGAACTACTTTCGATGAACGTTATTAGGCCATATTTACTACATAGTATGCCCTTAAACAAACTGGATGGTCCATGCACTGGTCACGGCGACGTTGGGCTTGCGGATGATCAGCGCGTCGTCGATTGCATCGTACGCAGTTTCCAACTCGACGACATCGCCGTCGCCACTGAAAAGCTTCACGGTGGTCGGTTTTTGCTGCAGCCCCACGACCACAATGCGCTCGATCTTCACGTCCGCCGCGTCAAAGCCCACGGACCCCACATGCGACCTCAAGAAGCCATACTCAAAGGCAAACTGCACTTGGGTAAACTTGTGGTCGGTTTCAAACGCAAACGTGTGCTCGTCGTCCACGTACAACTCGCCCACGGCCGCCTTGGCGTGGTTCAAAGCCACGACCAGCGTGTACGGGTCGTGACGCATCAACGCCGAACTGCGTCGCACACGCCATCGCTGGGGCACGATGCTCCCGCCGCGCTGGAACACGGGGATGTAATCGATCGGCGCCGCCACCGAATACGTCGTCCCCCCCACAAGGCGCTTGTAGCTACACCCAAACAAAATATAAGTGAGTGCGGTGCTCAATCGATTGAGTAGAATACAACCAAATCGACAGACAATCGATGATCGACCAATCAAAACCCAGATCTCGAATCAAGTAGCCACTCTTCGACAAATCCAACATCGAATTAGTGTGTGACTTAAATTAGTGTGACACCGCACGACTTTTACATACAAAAGTCAGTACAAAGAATCGATCGATGGATTTGGCGAATAATCCGCACAAAAGTAATCCAAATATTGGGTAAAAAAATGACAATATCAACCCCCGTAAATACGATAGACACACCATGCTATCTCTCTCTCGGGGTAGGTAGGACGACTGGTCAAACACAGAACCACGTCACACATACACTGCAAAAGCCCGGAACTTGGCCCACACGATACCTTTCGTTGATATTGTACCACACATCCGTGCCTGGAAGGTACACGTCCGCTGAAGTCGTGCCCGCCGACGTAATCGGATGCACGAGGATATCTCCTCCGAGAAGGAATGCATCTTCGACACCAAACGCCTTGGCATCGGTCGAGAACTCCATCCACAACGGCCGCATCACTGGCAACCCCGACACGCTACACGTGTGGAACACCGTGTACAAGTAGGGCAAGATCACATAACGCCGACGGATGGCTTCGCGGATGCGGCCAGTATGGGGCTCGCCAAACACCCATGGCTCGCGGCGGTCCGAGTCGTGGTGCGCGTGGCCTCGGAAGAAGGGCTGGTACGTCGCGGCCTGGCTCCAGCGGGTGACCAGCTCGGCGTCGGGGTTGCCAAAGAAGCCGCCGACGTCGGCGCCGACAAACGTGAGCGACGCCACGCTCATGCTAAGCAGCATTTTGGTCGCGTAATTCAAATGGCCCCAGTCGGCCTTGTTGTCGCCCGTCCAGATGGCGCCGTAGCGCTGGCTGCCGGCAAAGAACGCGCGGCTCAGCACGAATGGGCGCTCCACCGCAGCGGTCAGCGGAATTGGTTCGTCGGATGGGGGGACTTCGGGGAGCTGGCGCACGAGCTGGCCTTCCATGGTCGCGCGCTGCATGTAGTACCCGTACAAGTTGTGCCATTCGCGGTGCTCGACGCCGGCGCGGCTGAGGCAGTTCTTGCGCATGCTCACCTCGGGGCCGTTGAACACACTCGGCTCGTTCATGTCGTTCCACGTGTACAGGTCCAACGTACTGCCAATGTACTTGTCCAGGCGGAACTGGGACGCCCACCACCGCCGCGCCTTGTCGGACGTAAAGTCGACATACGACGACGACCCGGGCCAGCACCACCCGTCAAACTCGTTGCCGTTTTCGTCCGTGATGTACACTTGCTGGGCTTGCGCGTCCGTGTGCACGGCGTAGTTGGCATCCCGCTTCATGTGCGGGTCCACGATGGTCACCATCTTGCGGCCGACCGCCGACAGCGACGCTTGCATGTCAACCGGTGTGGGAAACGCATGCTGGTCCCACGTAAAGTACCGCTTGCCGTCCGTGTGCTCAATGTCGAGCCACAATACGTCGTACGGTATCACATGCGTGTCAAAGCCTTGGTCGACGCGAGACACGTCGAGCTCGTTCTTATAGTTCCATCGGCATTGGTGGTACCCCAGTGCAAACACGGGCGGCAGCGACGCGCGGCCCGTGAGCTGCGTGAACTGGTCCGACACGGCGGCAGGAGTCGGCCCCGGGAGGACGAAGAGGTCGATCCACCCGCTTTCGCTCATCCAGTGGGTGGATTTTTGCGTTGTTGACGGTGTCGCAATGTCCACAAACGTCTCAGACGGGTTGTACCAGAACACCCCCACAGTATTCGACGGACTCGCGGCCATGAGCATCGGAATGTGGCCATATAGCGCCATCGGCTCGTTCAATTCGTACTCGAACACGTCCAAGTTGTACAGCCGATATGGGTCGGTCACGGGCGTGCTAGGAAATGGGTTATATGCGACAACGTTTTGTGTTTTGGACGTACTTGTCACGAGACAGCGTGTCTTTCAAGACAAAGTCCGTCGCGTGCTCGGGAATGCCATACAAATGACGATCTTGGCCGTGAAAATGGATGTCCAAGCCCACGGCGGTGGACCCAAACTTCTTGGTGTCAGAGTGCCCGCCAAACGATTCCTGCCACGTGGACGAGTCGTCGACGGGCGCGGGGGTTTCCGTGGTGCCTTTGACTTGGTGGGTCCCGTCGGCGTAGATGGCCAGCCCATCCTCGCCATAGTCGACAATCTCCTTGCCGCCGTGGACATCGACTCCCGAAGCCGCGTCGTCGGCTGAGGACGTGGCGGCGTTGCTGTCGTTGTTCTTGTCCTTGCGCGCGTCGTAATGCAGCTTGCCCAAGGTGTTGGTCGACACGACCAGTTCTCCGTTCACGTACACTTCCATGGCAAAAGCCCGCGGCTTCCCGCGAAGCACCACCAGGGTGGGGACATCGGCAGTCGAGAGGAACGCCACATCTTCCGCCGCGATCGATGTGAGGGGAGATGACGTCGTGCGCTCAAACGACGAATGAGTCGTGTCCACAAGTACATCCTTCGGTTGCCATCGTGGCTTGGTCAGGTCGTTCTCGGCGTTGTGGGCGTCGAAGAGCGCCCCGTCAAAAGCGACCTCGGACGTGCGAAGACGCACGGCGCCGGATTGGAGGAAGCTCAATGACGCGTGCAGCGGCTTCTTGGACGTCGACGGCACAAGCGAAAAGTAGTACACAGATGACGACGACGTGGCCGCGTCGGGCTTTGCGAGCAACGAGTACGTGGAGGTGTCGCTGCTGCCTACCGTTTGGCGTTGCGAGGAGCAGAAGGCAGCCTGGTCACATCGACGGAATTTGCTTCGATCTACGGCATCCACGGATGAAGACAGCGCCGCGATCGCCAACGCAGCTGCCAGCCACGTCGACACTCGTCCGAAACCGACCATATGAGACTTTGGTGACGAAATGGTTTTTGTTTGTGGCTCTCAAAACGGGGACTTGGTTATCCGGATGATAAACTACCCAAAGTAACTAAAAATATATCCAAACAATTCAAAATCCTGCGATTCACAAGCTGTACGCTAAAGTGGTGACGTGGCACAGAAATATTTTCTGTCCAATCAGCGAATTAGCAGATGATGATTTCAAAAATAATTAAAATCTGCCTGACCAACACAGTTGATGGCTTCGTTCTGGGTTGAGCCGTTTGGTGGATGGGGAACAGCTTCATGTAGTCGCGAGGTGGAGTGTACTCACGGCTCCTACCGTGTGATTCCAAGTGGAAGCATCAGAAATAGTACGTTCCACAGGCCTCCAGTATCCTAGTACGACTTTGAAGCATCGCGAAAACAATATTTTAAATGAAATTGTAAACTACACCGCCGGAGTACTGTAGGGACAGTTTAAGGTGCACTCAAAATGACCAATGGAATTGCTTGAGTTTTGTAATAGCCAATCGAATCACTAGAAAATGAAACACCATGTTGAAGATCAAATTGTTATTATTTTTTTATTTTTTTACCAAAACATATGCAAAACCCGCATACTACGTAGTACTAGTACATACTATAGTAGTACTACTTAAGCTGAAACCATGCACTATAAACCGTCCCTCATACGGTATGTTGCCTTGACTTGAATGGAAAGCGAAGTAAATGAACGCTAACGTTAATTATTACGTAAAGTCTATTCAAGTCGATTAAACAATGAGAAGAGTGCCCAACCTTTCGGCTTCTTCCAGTACTTTTCATAATTAAAATCGCTGTTCTGAGAGGCGAGTAAGCTGCATTCTACGACGAGGTCTGTTTCAAGTGCACCATAAATTACGAAGAATATTTTGATTTCTCCAATTGTTCATACAAACGATTAATTGGCATGAATGAAACCTCAAAATAATACTTCATAGTAACGTTAATACTACAGCATTATTATACAATTATAATACTTGTATTGTAGTGTACTACGTAGTAATAATATATATCATCCAGGCGGTGGCTTGCCTTTTGGGAAGATTCATCCGATATTAATAGGACACTGTAACTTATTTACTAGTATTACTGAAGCAATTCCAACGATTCTTCGAATAATATTTCTTCAGAGTACACTTGGAATGGTTTGTATCGACGTGATGCCTGGCCAGGGTCATCGTCTCCTAAATTTGAGCGGAAAATGTGTCGATGAGAATCAACACCCAAAATGTGTTAGTAGGTGCTAGTATCTACTAAATATCTGATTTGGCATCACGGATTGGCTATAATTGCCATTTTATTGATGACCAAGGTTCATGAATTTCAAGCGACTGGCACCTTCTCCATCTTATCGACACAACATCGTTTGCTCCACCCTCTACTCTTCACAGTATCTATACGTATAATCCTTACAGTTAATTTAAGCTCTTGTGTGTTATCAATCGTATTTGAGTGCAGTAAATGAACCCTTTAATGACAAAACGAGCTTTACAGTGTTAGTAGCTAACAGTCCCAGCCATTTTGTGGCAATATTTCATAAAGCAGTGCAAATTGAGGATAAAGGTCAAAGTAAGTGTTTCTACGACCAATTTCGAAACAACTGGCAAATTCTCAGTGCATCATATTAGAGTTTGTATGACCACGCTGGTATCATCGTTTCAAAAGGCCTTATTACAGTAGTTAGTTACTCGTACACCAACAATACCCGCTTGGCATGTCTTTCTCTACTGTTATCTTGCTCCTAACGTTATTTGAACGTTTTAATGTGATATCGTATAAACTGTAAATATGTTTTTCGTCTTCTTCTTCCTTTTGGAGATATATAACGTTGCTAGAGTCCCCGACATTTAGCGTAATAGTACGTCACATATATGTTATAACCCGTGCTCAAGCGACCCCGCCCATTCCGCCTCCTCCTCCTCCCTCTTCGTCGTGTGCATGCTGCTGCTCTTTGTCTTCTTGGCCATCTTCGTTGTTGTCGCTGCCATATAATGTTGCCTCATGTTTCGGGGATTGGGACTTGTGAAACCGCGATTCATCCGAGTTCAACTCACTCTCATTGTCGTCGTTGACATTGTCGAGGGCGTTGCCTGCCTTTTCATAGCCCATATTGTAGTACGTTTTGTACGCCGTGCGGGCCTTTTGCTGGGTCAGGACGTTCCAGTGCGACAGCATCGTCGCGACCAAGTTGGGTCGAATCAAGTCAAACATGTCTTGGCCAACCTTTTCGTACGTATTCATCACCCGCACACACGCTGGCGAGTTCCAGCACGCGAGCGCGCGGTCCGCCACTTGCTGCTGGATGCTGCTCATGCACTTGCCAAGGCGGAGCCCCATCGTGCGCGCCACCGGCGCCAAGTCGGACTCGGCCAACACGTACTCGAACAGCTCCTCGAGCACGATCAGAAACACAATCTCCTTGAACGCGTTGCCCACGGGCCAGTACTTGAGCACACCCCGCGCGATCGGCGTGTACAGCACATGATCTTTCGACACAAACTGGATCATGCAGTACATCAACTGCTGGTGGTACGACGTATACGCTTGCGTCTACACAAGACATCAGGCTCACGATAATATTATATTAACACTTTTATTAAAATATCATTTCGCACACACACATATATATCTCAACAACAAATCCCACACGTATAATATAAATGTAATTTTAGTTGTATATGTATATGATGTATGTTTATGGATTGGACTGGATGGATGGATGTAGATGGAGGCACTATGATCCATGCCAAATTAGGAGGACTATATATATATATATATAAATACAATTGCGTTGAGATGGAGTTCATCATGTAGTATTATTTTGTCAAGTTAAAATTCGAATGAGCAGCAGAATCACCCGACAATCAAAGATCGACCAATCAAAACCCAGATATCACGAATCTACTAGCCAATCAAATCCACTCTTTGACCCATTCAACCTCGAATTAGTGTGTATATGCAATTCGTGTGTACAAGCAATCGATCGATGACGAACGAACTATACCGAGTGGAGCGGCACGAGCGACTTGACCAACAGCACGACATGCTCTTCCTTGATTGGACACGCAAAGCCGTTGATGATACTCCCGAGGATCTCGAGCAGTTCCGTCACACCATAGTAATTGGACGACTCGTACACGTATTCGTAAAACACATTGGCAATTTCTTTGCGAATGAGAGCCCGTCGCTGCGTCAGCTTGTAGTACAGTCGATGCAGCACGGTCTAGATATAAATATCAAATACCACATTAGCACGAGGTGAGGGGGGGCGTTTCGTGATGGGATATATTTTTAAATAAGCCCAAACTATGCAACATCATACCATCACAACACAAGCATTATTTCGTAACTGTGGTCAAACAAATAGAAACAGCCATCCAATCATCTGCGACGAGAAAAATATAAATATATATATAATGTATATATATATAAATACTTTGTGTCGTCGTGCTAAAAAATATTTGGTTTGAAAACCTCTGGGAACGATTGATTGTAAATCCATTTGAAATAATAATAATAATACTAGCTTTCCAACACACGTGTATATATATAGATAGTACAACAAGTCCGATCTCGTCCATGGCAGCACCAGCATATATATATATAAAAAACAACTCGAATTCACCATCCTCCCCCGCATCCCTACGTTTGTTCTACCTTGAGCAACTGCCGTTCCTTGTACGATGGCGACTTGAACAGCGCGACGAGCTGCGATACAAAGCGCGGCGTGAAGAAATCTTTGCGCACTTGCTTGTCTAGCTGGTCAATGTACTCGATCGCGCGCACGAGGATGTCGTAGCACGTGCTCAGGACGCTCCACTCTTGGTCTTCTGCCGACAGCATGTCGGACATGAGGTCTTGGATCGAGAATGGCGCCGCGTCCGTGTCCGGGGAGGTCTCTTCAAAGAAGACCGCGTTCGGATCTTGCGCGGGGACGCGCGGAAACGGCCGAAACAGAAACGACGACGTCATGTGAAGCAGTTCCTTGAACAGGCTCGGGTCGGCCATCAACGTCCTACATGCACAAACAAATATATATATGCGACACCGTTTAAACGAATCAGCACGTACGGATATGTATCGCAATATGTGTGGATATCCTGCATTAGCTTGATCTGGCGGTCGCGCAACTCGTACTTTTCCTTGTCCGACAGCCCGAGGTACCTTGGTCGGCAGAATGCCATCTTCTTTCGGCACACATATACCCGCTCAAACGCAGGCACGTCTGTGACACGGTTTTGTATTTTGGTTTGAAGAGTTTGGCGTACATACCTTCTAGGGCGGGGAGTTGATAGAGCTGTTCCTTGGACTCGCGGACGTCTGCGACGCCGTCGCGCACGGGAAGGGATGCGCTTTTGATGCTGCTTAACCATTGCACGAGGTCCGCTTCGTTCTTTGCGACCATGTACAGCGACCGGTAATTCTATTTTGAAAATCGATTTCAAACACGAGTTTCTTTTTAAAATATATATTTAAAAAGTCGCGGCAATGAAAATGTAGGTATAGACACACGTACGGGGTGGGAGATTTCAAAACAAAATTGTTTTTTAAACTTGGCCGTGTCCAATGGATGAACATCCACGCCCTGCAACATATGAGCATGTGATCAACCTCGGTCGTGATGATACACGGACGTACCGACAACGAGATGACGCCGCGAGGGAACGTTTCCTCGCTCGACGTGCCAGACACGTAATAGAACATGGACTGGCCGCGCAACACCATAAAGCGCTTCTTCCAGTTCTTGAGGTGGTTTGCCTGCTTGACAAGCACGCCGCTCTTGCTCGTGGGTGCGTAAAAGTCCGACTCGTGGTGGCCGTCGTGGTTCTCCTGAAAACTCGAGATCAAACTCGTCTTCTTGCCGTTGTTGTGCTGTTTGTGTTCCGCCGAGTATCCACTGCGTTCAAGGTCGCCTTCGTCGTCCGACACGGACGAGGTCGACTTGGCCACGGACGATGTGGACGAAAGATGTGTCGAGATTTTCTTGGAGCTCTTGCTGTTTCCCAGCATGCCTCGGAAGAATTTCCCTGTCCTGCTCTCGGGGGGCGCGGTGGTGGCGACGGCTGTCGAGTCGCCGAGCTTGCTACTACTACTGCCGAATCCAAGAGCCATCGTCCCTGCGCCAATGTGAGCATCTTCATCCAGACAATCCTTCCCCATGACACATAGAGCATGCATGCCTTACCAGGATGAGCAGTGCGCGCGACGATGGTTATCAGCAGTCGGTGGACACCTGCGTCACTCTGGGCCAGGAGTGTGTAAGTCCTGCTGATTTGTAATGGACATGTGCCATACCGAACACTGCGAACTGCGTTTTATGCGTTTTATCGAGTCTCTGCCAATGTAACTTGAAGTTTGTATACCATCACCACACACGTTAAACTAGTTTTCCGAAATTACAGTGTAATTTCTCCCCAAATTGCCGCCGCATCACGCCACAGCTCGCGAGGTAAGTACATGACACACAACGCTCCGATCCTTTCGTTGGTTCTACCTACCTTGGCCCCCGTGGACAAAGAAGCACTTGGGATGGAACGACAAATAAGCACGCCGCTGATGAAACAGAAACGAGCAAGCATTCATGCATGTGAATGGACGCACGCAACCAAGGCCGCTCGCTCCCAACGTGTAACTACATACTGTATGTACCCTGCATGGATGGCATGGGGCATAACGTTACTCCCTCGCACTATATGCTGCTTCCACACGACTGTAGCCTTCCAACTAGCCCTGTAGTGGACCACGGGCCAATATCCAGCTTGCATCGAAGTGGATAATGTAACCTCCTCGTCCATGCCGACGTGCGTCGTTGTGGTAGGTGTGAATTCTTGTTTTCAACCAATGAAAGCCAATCTCAACATACAAAGGAGCCAATCGCGTGCATGATATCGACCAATCAGCCAATCAAATGTAAGGCATGTAATAATTATAACCAATCCACGAACAGCGTTTTATTGTACTAGTAAACCCCACCAATAACCAGAAGCAACATGAAACAACCTGCCAGGAGAAAGCGAAGGGCCAAAGGCGGCGACGACGGCGGCACGGTGCCCCCAGACAAGAACGACTTCTTCAAGAAGAGAACGCTGAAGATGCACACCATCGTGGCTACCGATGAGGCCGAGGAGGACGTCACGATCATGCCGTCCTTCGCAGGATGGACGTTTGCGTGCTTGGGTACGTACGTACGTACCCATGTCCATATCCGTGCGTGCGAATTGGCATGTTCATGATTGTGAAAGGGTTGTCTGCCGCGGAAGAGACCAAAGTCCGAGAAATCGTACGTTTGCATCGAGGACGCATGGACGATGGTCGCCTTGATGGTGGCCGTCGGCACCTGTGTCGGTATTCCACTTGCTCCCATGTGGTCACTGGATACTGGCTCCCAGTCACGATCGAAGCAGACGACTCTGCCGTGTACGTGACGCTCCACTGGCTGGAGCAAGTTCATGCCACGACGCAGAACCTTCCACTCGACTCCAGCATCCTCTTCCAACCGCCACCGTTCCACCGTCACTCGTTCCATTTGGCATATCCGCACGAGTACATCATCACAGACTCCTTCGATCCGGCCATGCATGTTGAGGTACATCATCGCCATGCTCGCTCCTGTCATGCTACTTGATCATCTGTCGTTCTCGATATATATAGCTTCCTTGCGTCCCAAGCAGTAAGCTGTGCTTCGACATTCCGCGCTGGCCGTACGTCGTCGCTCTGCTTACGCGCCCGATCCCTGACGTAGACGCCCTTGAGCATGTCATCCACCTGTACATCATCCAGCCGCCTACGTACACCTTTCGGCCGAAAACTGACCTACTAGTCCTCTAGAATCACGGGGCAACAAGGCACTCGTCTGCGATGCCTCCGTCGCGCCATCGACGTAACCCTACCTTGTGCATTCGTCAAAGCTAACGCCATGGATTAGGAATACGTGGAAGACGCTACGACGTTGTTTACAGTCACGTTGCCGTACATGGTGTCCACAGCGCTAGCCCTTCCGCTCTTGTTTCCGTCGCCTGTGCCTCTCTTGACTCGGCAAGTCCCATCCAGCGTGACCTTGACCAAACGTCAAGCCGCGTGTCTCATCATCCACGCCTTCTTGTGTACGTTCACGGCTGCCAACACATCGTTCAACCATTTTCACTTTTTCGACGTGTTTGCGCCGTCCGCCCCGCCCGACTGGAGCAACGCCGCCACCACCGATCAAGACGCCACGGCGGTTCAGAAACTTGTGACAGTGTTACATTACTTTAGCCGATTCACCACAGACAACTTGTGTGACAATACCAACCACCGATACGATCAACAAGTGATCACATACGCCCGCCATGTACTCGACACGACCACCCCGTCGACGGATAGCGGGATGGCGGGGGATAGCGGTGGATGGGCCGACACTCTTCCGTGGACGTCTGTGCATGTGCACGCGAACGGAGCGATCGAGGACGACGTAGGCGCCGTGCAAGTGGATTTTGCCAATAAGTTTGCAGGCGGCGGCGTCTTGGGCCACGGATGTGTTCAAGAAGAGATTCGATTTCTCATGAATCCGGAATGCCTCGTCGCGTGTTTGCTGACCGAAGTGCTCGGTACGCGATCCATCCCCTCTGTCACACACAATCACATATTCTTTCTCATGAAGAGAGAGAATCATATAATAACGTCATGGGTAGACCCGACCGAGTGCTTTGTGATTTCAGGCACAGAGCAATACGCGGCCTCCAGTGGATGTAAGTGGTTACTTTTTTATATATATAGTGGATATTGGAGACATGGCATCAACTGTGTATATATATGGGTGTTGACACTGTTCTATCCTAGATGGATCGACGTTTGCATTTGCCGGCGGAGTCCTCGACTTGGTACCTGTGGACGTCAACATGATGCGGGATACAGTCATTGTTGGCATCGACGCCACCAAATACTACCGCAACAACGCGTGGCACCAGTTTCGCCCAGAGGTACATTCGTCACCGTCGAGTATATAAATATATATATATATGAATATTGTATATATATAAATACTGTATATGGGAGTATTGGCAAAGAATCAGCACAAAAAAGATCACATTTTGGGTAAAAAGGATAATACTCACATATATATATATGTGAGTTTTGTACAATATATATATATGTGAGTATTGTCCTTTTTACCCAAAATGTGATCTTTTTTGTGCTGATTCTTTGCCAAATCTATCGATCGATTTTTTGTCTATTGTATGTAAAGTGTTGTCCAAAGTTGAAGAGGTATCTTTGCAATACTAGAATCAATCGTGTTAGCCAATCAAATTGCAACCTTCATTCTTTGTAGCCAATCATGCTCATTTGCTCGATTGGTTGGCGATTTCATCAACCCCGAAATAGGCCAATTTAACTGAACAGCAAAATATCACACTCATTTAAAAATCACACACTAATTACACGTTAAACCTGGCTTCCCGCAAGCGGCTATTGGCTCAATTCTTCTATACTATTTATATTTGGTTGTATCGAGTATTCATTCTCCATATGTCGCTCCAGGTTAGAATATAAACACATTAGCAATAGGACATCAAGAGGGAACTCGACAAGGCCATGGTGGGGTTCCAACGCCTCCCCGACGAATCCCCCACACAACGAGGACGACGACCCGTGGCCACGGGAAACTGGGGCTGCGGCGTGTTCAAAGGCGATGTCGAGCTCAAGTTTGTCGTGCAGTGGCTCGCGGCGTCTGCCCAGCATCGCCCGCTGCATTACTACACTTTTGGCAACTCGGATCTGGCCACCCGTCTGGCGCAGTTTGTTCAGACTGTGACAACGTCCACCCTTTCGGTGGCGCAGCTGCGGGCACGGCTGCTTGACAACAACGCCCCCAACTGTACTTTGAGTCTGGCGGAATACACGCGGCAGCACCGACGACATCGGCCCAGTGTGTGCGCGTACATTACGTCGACGTTGCTACCACACATTCGGCACTCTCCGTCGACTGTATCCCAGGCGGCGGCTGATGTCCAGTCTACCAATTAATCAACCATATGGCCCGCCGTTGCACGACTACTGTGCATAGTAGGGTCGTCTTAGACTACTACTAGTACATATATAAAGGTAGTTTGTGACTTGGACGTGCCATTCAATCAGTTTTTTAATACTTCGAAGTCGTGGGTTCGAATCCCGCTTTGGCCTTTTTTTTAAATATATTTTATAACGATGATGTAATTCAATTGGGGAGTTTGCAGACAAGATCATCTCAAAATACTATGATATCGGTACAAGGGAATGTAGGCGTCCACCCCATCCACGTGGCCAATGTATTGCGAAGCGCAAGCTCATGTTCTCGATATCAACCTGCCTACTGTATTTGTTTTCGTTGATCTCCACTATGAAATATAAAACGTAACTATAACGATAAATTCAATATACTATTAATAGTAATTAATATTAATAGTATAATACAATATACTATTAATAGTAATTAGTAGCATATTGTATTATAGATCAAAACATGCTGTGAGCTGTGAACGGGTACTATTAATAGTATGGGGGAAAAGTTGTGATTCAAAAATAATTGACAACAATTAAAAAACAACAGTACAACACCGTAGTAAAATGCATTATTGATGTGGGTGCAAGGTCCAAATGAGTATTGTGTTTCTTTTACCGCTAAATTTGGTTGCCTTTTGTGCTGATTCTTTGCCAAATCTATCAATCCATTGTTTGTACTGCCGTCCAGTGTCACACTAATTCAAAGTTGACTTGGTCGAAGAATGGATTTGATTGGCCACGTGATTATTGTTCTGGGCTTTGATTGGTGGATCGATTGTCGTCTACTGATTCGGTGATTCTGCTCAATTGAGACAATCGTACAAAGTATATAAATTGATACAGGTATATAGTGTACGTAGTACGCACAATCATTCCCGCGGCCCTCGTTTCTTGCAAGCCCGTCGTCCATAGTATATGCATCGATTTTGTGTACTTTACTCTATTTGTGACTCAATTTCATACACGGATGTCGTACTACATATACAGTAGTCCCCCAGAATAGGGAACCTTTGATTCCGATACGTTTTAAGAGGTATCACTACTGCTCAGGTATAAAACTAAAAAGGTATTTTCGGTAGGGTTCCTTGCTTCTGATTGGTCAATGTACTCGGATTGAAAAATCGACATCATTTTCGAATTCAGGAGGGGGTTGATATCCTAGCTTACAGATGACCATGACGATGTCCATCCGTCATAGGATTGGTGTGTGGAGAGCATTGCATCTTGTTGAAATATTTGACAAGCTGGTTGAAACGGCTGACGAAACTGAATAAAAGAATTTCGCGTCACTCGTGAGCACTGCTCGAAGTTAGTCTGTTGGAAGCGTTGGAGTGGGCCAAGGAGGCTTGGCAATGTGTGACGCAAGTCACTATTGTGAATTGTTGGCGCCATACTGGTATTGTTGACAAGGAGGTTTATGAGTTGGTTGATAGTATGCATAACCTTTAAAAAGAATGAAACGTGTTTGTGTTTTGTCTTCAGGAGGTTGCCACCGTGACATTGTCGATTGCCGAATTTAGAGGGTCACGTGAAAGGCCAAATGCTAAACGAGCCCATCGACGCAACTCAACTCTTTTCATGGCAGCGCGTGACGCATGCTGCTTTAACAGTGTACGCTTCTGCTCGATTGTCAATCGTAGCCGCGACAACGGCGACGGCATGCTGAGTTCCAAGTGTGAGTGTCGCCAACAAGTGTTAGATTATTTGCGTGGTTAATTTAAAAGTTGAATGTACCTCTCAGATTTTATGACTGATTTGCACGCAAAATTATGTTTTCTGAGAGGATATAGATTTATGGTGGGTTCCTTATTCCGGGGGACTACTGTACTAGTACTACTAAGTTCTACTTAAGACAACGGCATTATCGTTTGCAATTTGCATTCTCGCTTTGGACAACGCTTGGACTACGAGACTTTGAATCAAACGACGACGACGGCAATGATCTAATACAAATGCGCCGACAGCTTTTGCCGCATCTGCTTCTCCAGCGCTTCGGCGCGCCGGCAAAACAGCATCAAGAATGCTTCGTTGATTTTGCTCTTGGGTTTGGCCAAGTTACGCACGGGCGGGTGGGAGTGGAATACACTGCGGAGGATCGTGTACTTGGACCCGTCTGGTCGAAAGTTGGTATTGAGCAGCACACTACATAAGTACGTACACATGGAATTTCTCCTACACCCCTATGAATGTATATATATATATATATGTACCTGCCGACTTCGGCGTTCCGAATCGTGCTTTCAGCCTCCAGGGGGTACAACTCGTCCTCGTCGATCGAATCCCACGATACAACGCCCAGCTCAGCGTTTGACTCGTGGCGAATCACAAATAGAGACTCCATAAAGTACTTGGCCCGCTCAATGTACAGCGGCACCGCCGCGCGGCCATACCGCGTGCACGCGTCGACCATAAATAGCTTCTACGAGGAATATATATACATACACGGACATTCCAAATCGGGACAATCAAACAGGTCGTACCGCCGAGTCGGCGTCCTTTTGAATGTTGAGTACGGAATGCACGAGCGCTTCGACCACTTGGTGGTGGTCAAAGCCATCGATTTCACACACCCGAATGAGCTTGATGTCAATCTCGGGCCCCGTGCCGTTCAACTTGATGTCCTACACAACAACCCCATGACGAGGGATATCTACAAGTCACTCTGGACACCTCAAACAACACGGCAGCTATAGAACACACACTCCAACATGGAATAATTTTTAAAAAATTGTCTCATTTAATAACAGAATTGGGGGTTGCGACTGTAAATATTTATTTAAATTTGATTGAATTACATATACGAGGAGTACAAGTATTGTCCTTTTAGTCAAAATGTGCACTTTTGATTCTTTGCCAAATCTATCGATCGATCGATTCGTTGTCCTGCCTGTTGTATGTAAAGATCGTTTCAAGTATCACACTAATTTCAGTCATACACTCATTCAAAGTTGAAGTGGTCGAAGAAGTGTGTCGTTTTGATTGGCTACTTGATTCGTGTTCTGGATTTTGATTGGTCGTACAGTGCCAATTATGTGCCAATTCATGACGTATTAAACTAAGCCAATCACTGATCCTAAATTGGAACAAGCGCCAATCACAGAACAAACCTCTGAATACTTATCACTCGTAGCCATACAACACCGAAGATTACAATAATACGTCAACAATTGACACACCACTTTATAGAGGTATAGCATATATGAAGAGCAGATGTACACAGCTCAATTGTGCGAAATACATTGCGCGTTGATAATTGGTGGATTGATTGCGCAGAAAATTGTCTACAATTTAGAGCACTTTGGATTCAAAAATTATGGCCATTCTCTGAAAAAACAAAAAAAGTTGTGTGCTTTCGAGTGAAATTTCATTGTGTTGTGGTTTCTCGTTGGAATTTAAATCGATTTGATTGGCTACTTCAGATGAGCTGAAAATTATTAACCAATCAAAACCTTTTCAATGAAATTCAACCAATCAGATCAATTGTGGATCGGTTTGGTCGGCGCGATTCGATTGCACCCCCCCTCCCCATATTTGTATCAAATCGACAATACAGATCGCGTAAAAATGATATATATATATATATAGATCGCATGTTCGACCAACACAATAAATGATATATATATCAGTTGAACGGGTGGTGGTACCAAGTGGCCAGGGATGCTCGGAAACGCGTGCGTCTCGCGCATGACAAACTCGTACGCGAGGTCCATGCGGACTTGGGCAATCTGGTTGAGGGTCGCGGTGCGCGCGGCGGCGTCCCCCGTGAGGCGGTTAAACGTGTGTGACCGGTCGTTGTATGTGCCGTTGGGGGGCATGGGGAACGTCAGCAGCGGCGACTTGATCCACATGTCACGCACTCGCTCCGTGTAGATGGATTGTTCCTTGAGGTTGGCGCGAAGGAACTCGTTGTCGTCTTCGGCTTTTTTGCGTTTCCGTCGCTGGGACAGCGCCTACATTGTGGACGTCAAACCATGTGGATGTTTTGCGCAGTTTTGAACGGGGCAAACCTTTTCTTCCCATTCAGTAAAGTCGTTGCCGTTCGGATGCACCGACTTGTGTGTGGCGCGTAGCCGTTCGAGGTCCGACTGGAGCGCAAACACTTGATGCCGCAGCGTCCCTAGCTCTTCCTTTTGCTTGGACCGGTGGCGGCGTGCACTTCGAGCAATCTGTTCGCGTCGTCGCACCTTTTTGACTTCGCTCGACAGGGTCGAGTCGTCCTCATCGGACGATGGAGATCGCGTCCCGGCTTCGTGCGTCGAGTCGTGTGATGGAATAACCGGACGGGAATGCAGGGCCGAGCTCATGAGCACCGCCGTGGCATATGTCTTTGGCGACGGCGGGGAGGCCGCGTAAGCAAACGAAGCTGGTCGAGGCGGCAACCCGTAGGTCGGAGACGACAACCGTGATACTGGCGTGGACGTGTACGAAGGCGGAGATGGCACCGATTGTGGTGCGGGAGGGTTGGTTTGCGGCCGCAGACTGGACAGCGGTGGAAGGTGGATCGATGGTACGGGTCTGGACGTGCCGAGGAACGAGTGTGGTTGCTCGTGTGAGTCCATCTGCATCATCATCGTCGGCGCCGCGCGAGTTTCAGGTAGTGGTGGTGGCGATGGTCGCACTGCTTGGCTAATGCTGGGCTGGGCGTACTGCATGGAGGTGGGGTCCAAACTTGGTTGTCGACCTGCGGATGGGTTGTGGCCAAGGGATTACGCAACCGACTGCATCAATTCTTCGCACATTACGGTGATTTGATCGCGTTTGATTGGCTGATATCCAATAAACCCTACCCCGCTTCCGTTTACGTCTACGTTTGGATGGAATTGCCCGTTTACGAATGCCGTGGTTCCGACTTGATTTGTATCATTTGAAATTTGTATACAACTTTAAACGTCGGTATTAAAATACACCCCCACATACAATTGGGTCGAAAGGTCGCCCAAATCAACCAAGGGTCCATTCAAATCACAAACGATATTATGTCTTGTTTTGATGTATATATCGCCTCGATCGACGAGTTGCGAGCAGCTAAAGTTGGAAACGTTTGACTATGTGTCATCGACCTATGCAGATGACGTATACGCCACCCACCAAATCACTCTCTCAGATGTATACGGAACAATTCACACAGTGTCATAGTAAAACAGTTCCACTGTTTCTTTTATCAGAAAGTATATGGTTAATTGTGAGTTTGGATTATCATTTGTATATGGGACTAGTACTTTTAACTCTAACAACCTCACCTCTTACTATAAATACCGGTACATGCCTCTTTGGGATTTAGCTTCATATGTACCCGCCGGGGATAGGACAGAGTCCCGCGTTACAGGGAGCATTACAGTAGACAGATTTCGCAAACGCCAGTTCTATTCTATCCGCAACCTAAAATATAGAACCCAGATAGGTGGCAGCAACCTTGTGCAGAGCATTTCGCAAATCGTCCGCTGCAAATTGGTTTTATCCAGAAAACGTTATCCAATCAAACGTGGTTATTATTCTTGGCAATCATCCCTCAATAATGATGCTGGCTGGAGCTGGCTGGAGTTCCTCGGTAAATGACACTTCCAACGCATACAAAGGCGAGAATTGTACGCCTACAGTCGGATTGGAGCTTACTAGTTGGATTTTGGAGCTTACTAGTTGGATTCTCCCCAGCACCAATGAAGCGTTACCATCCTACCCACTTGCAGCATCATTGTAACGTTACAGATAATCTGGTTTCGGGGTTTCGCCCGCGAGGTTGAAGAAAGACTTCACGTCATTCTCGTGCCGGGACAAGGTAGTGAGGTCCTTCGAGAGTATGCGAGGACACCGTGTTCAGAGCGATGTCCTTCTACCACAAGATATACTCATGAGACTCTAATGCGATTCACCTCGCCATCCCAGGCTGTGGTTCAAACAAAACACAAGCGCATCCGGTTACACCAGAAACCCACCATTCATGCGGATACACGCAAATGGGGAATCCGCTGCAAAATTGGCAAATTTTACAGCGGCTTTAATTATTTATAACAGGTTCAGTTCTATCCTTATCGAATTTGAGAGGATAGGTTGCGGATACCAGTAAAATAGAACTGACGTTTGCGAAATCTGTCTATACTACTGTAGTATAGTATGGTTAAAAAATGTATCTGGATGGCATATATTTTCCTCTCATTAGTACAGTACAGTATAAGTCAAAACAACAGTGGAATTGTTTGAATCGGGGAATTCTTCGATGTCTTGCCATAGATAGATCTTGGGGAATAATCACCAGATATAGTGATTGACAGTTTTGCCCAAATATACTGTGTACAGGAGCATACATCCTACTGTAGAATGTACTTGATTCTTAGCGAATCAAAACGTACGATGACTTACCTTACAGCCAATCACAACTATCGACCCATTTTATGAATTAGAAGGGGTTGGCAATAATATTATCAGAGGGTTACGACTGGCTTTGGAGGGTAACCGTGGGGGTCGTCTGTCGGGCAGCAAACTTGCGCAGCTCCGTGCGGGTCACGTCGTCGAAAAAGTCGGAGCATCGACACCACGTGGTCAAGAACGCTTCGCTGATTTTGCCGCGGGGTTCAGCCAGCGCGCGCACCGGTGGCATGGACCTCACGACGCATCGCATGATGGTGCTCTTGTCACCGTTGGGCATGGTCTTGTGCTCGAGCACGGCGCAGCCCACTTCGACGTTGCGCAGTGTGTTGCCGTCCGCGTGCTCTGGAAACAAGTCGTCGTGGTCGATCGAGTTCCACATGATCACAGAGTGCTTGTCATATATTTTGCGCCGCACCAGGAACAGCGACTCCATAAAGATGAGCTGCTTGTCCTTCTTGCTCGACTTGAGGATCGGCATCTTGATGCGGCCATACCTCGTGTCGTCGTCCAAGTTCATGATTTTCTACAATAAAAAACCATTAGTGATGGTGGTCATAAACGTTTATATCATCGTGAAGTAATAGTACATGTTTATATATCTAAACGTGAACCACCTACTAGAGCAAAATATTATAGGATCCTCATAGATCCGCTAATATGATTGCTACAAAAATTGGTTCCAAGTATTGTCGATTTGATATACAAATGTTTGGGGACGGGGGTGCAATCGACCAAACCGATCCACAATCGATCGGATTGGTTGTTGAATTTCATTGAGATGGTTTTGATTGGTTAATAATGTTGAGCTCATCTGAAGTAGCCAATCAAATCGATATAAATTCCAACACTCGAAAGCACAATACAATAGAATATTTTTTTAAATATAAAACGAATATCGTCGCCCCATCACCCCATAACATGCGACAACGTTTTGCCCACCTCGTACTCGACCAGCCCCTTGAGCGACCGCCGCTGGATGTCAAATGAAAAGTCCAACACCGAGTTCCAACATGCACAGGCCAACGTGCGGTGGTCCACGTCGGGAATGACCTTACCGCGCACGAGTTGGAATTGCATGTCGGGGCCGCGGTTGTTTAACGACACGTCAAAGTACGGGAAGTCCCGCGTCTGGTCTGCCATGACCATCGACACGGCATGACTCATGGTGCGGTCCGCGAGGTTGATCAGAGCCAGGCGGCGGTCGTCCACGTTGGCGTTCAAGTGCGCGTAAATGTGATGAAACGACGTTTGCTACAACAATTGTACACGTCAAGGGCAAAAGGTAACATGGAGAAGGCATCGTACGGGGGACGTTGACGCCGGGGTCGTAGCGGCGGCCGCGGCCACGGGTGACACGCCGCCATTCTCGGCCTTTTGGCGCTTCCTCGCGGCGTCGTCTTCGGCGACCACGGCGCATTTGATGGCCATTTGCTCCTGTAAATACTTGACTTGTTGCCGTAGCATCTCCAGCTCCTCTTTGACGCCTTTACGATGCTTGCGCGCGGACTTGGCCACTTGGGCGCGTCGACGCAGCTTTTTCTCTTCTTCGGTGAGGCTCCCCACTGGTTGGGCAAGCAGTTCCTCGTCGGTTTGGAAATGATGATGCGAGCGGGATGTTTCCGAACTGGGCGGCGACACTGCGCCACTGTTCTGAGATGGGAGACGGAAGCCGTTGGTTGTGGACGGTGGCACATGCTGCCGGGACGTTTCAACTTTGATGGGTTCGTTCGTTGCCCGTGTCGACTGCTGGGACCCGTACGCGGGAGCCGACGGTGGAACCATGTGATGATTCGAATGCTGCTGCTGGTGATGGTGATAGGTCTGAAAAATGTCGGGGCCGCTAATCGTGTGGAGGTGGTGGGATGAGGGGTTGATCAACATGTCCAAATCGTGGCGGTCAAGGTCCGCGTCAGGACTGCTGATGTCAATGTCGCCGAACGGCACCGGGTCTACGTCGAACATCATGTCCACGTCGCTCATGTTTCCAGTGTGGAAGGAGAATGACATTGGTGCTTGATGTGTGGCCGTGTGTGTCGTGGCCGAAAGGCGCTGTTGGTGGATGCGAAGAAGAGAAAAAGAATCTACCATGGACGTGTGAGAAGCGGATGGGAACCTGTCAAATTTTATATCTGTGAGTTTGCCGTACTGTAAAACCCAAACCATGCATACAAATGTCAAGACGATCGCGTCGTGGAACTAAACTCTACACGTACACGACACACTTGCGTTTTATAGGTTTTATTCCGTGTATAGTAAGTACTATATTGACTGTGAGTCAATGTAGTTGTCGAGCGCGTAGAGGTTAACGACACACGAAACGTTATTGTATTCTTGGCCACCATTTGCTAGGGCTTCCCTTGGACGGTGCAGGTTTTACCCATTCGTGTATGTACAGTTAGTTGCCTGTAACGTTAAGGTGCAGTTTCGCATTGTCATACGCCTTTTTGTAATTGACGTTCTCATGGTGGTCACGACTTCACGTGAACATGTGCTGCTGATTACTACGGTGGTTAGATCGACCGTAAAACACCATTGGCTATTGAACGAAACGACAAAGAAGTTCGTGTATGGAACGGTCGCTAGTACGCATGCTGTGGTTGATTGAGTTGAGCAAGTTGCATCCCCCGATGCCCCCCCCCACCCCGTCCATCCCCTAATATGTACGTAAGTAGTTGGGTTTTATCAAGTTTGAGAGAGACGCGCTGAAGGATATCCATGCGTCGGCCTGCGTCATCATATTCATTCGACATAATCCACCACATGGCACTTCCAAGTGCAAGTTGAACCACGAACCTGATGGCGACACCACACACATTTTAGAGGTCTTTTCTATTTTATCCGTACGTAGTTGTACTTGCATTTTGTATCCGCCACCACACACATTTTAGAGGTTTTTTCTATTTTATCCGTACGCTGTTGTACTTGCATTTTGTATCCGACTTTACCTCGAGGCTAAAAATACATAAATATTTCCAAGGGGCGGCGGTCACCAAGCTGAGACATGGGATGCTGTGACAGGGATTATTCCACGTCGGATTGCTAAAGTCACTTTGCTTGCGGTGGTCAATATTAGCGTTGGGCTAGTACCTACCACTAGTGGTGCGCTCCGTCGGTCGTACATCGTGCCTGTTGAACACGATCCGTCGTTATGAAAAGAGATGTGGAAGGTACTGTACAGCTCTCTAACGTACGACATTACAGGATGTGGGTGGTGGATATGAACTGGTCGGAGGGCGTTTGGGTGCGCACGTGCTTGACTCGGTCCTAGTATCGTGCGCTGCTTGCTGTACAAGCGCAGGTTGGTTGGCTTGTTGTTCTGCATGTGGCATCTCAATCCCTCTCACTGCCTCCACGCGAATGGTCATGATGGGGTGTAACCGCAAATCGATGGGTCGGTTGCTTGCATTTCGTAATCGCCGTGGAATCAGAGCACCGTGATGGTGGCAGACCACGCACGTTGACAACGCATTATTACAGTAACGTGCATGAACCTCTTCATGTTGGGGAGAAAAGTGCGGGACGACCAGTTCTCAAGTTGATACCATCCAAGCAACCAAGGTTAACGAGTTGGCACATTGGACGCAAATGCCTACTAAGTCGTACTAGTAGCATTCAGACGCTCGCTCCGTCTCGGAGGTTGGATTCACGACGACACGTTGATGTCCATGTTGGAACTGCTTCGATTCACATCTAGCCCATGCAAGTTCGTGGTGGACCATGCATCGATGGTTCGTCAGCCATGGCGATCTTTCCACGATAGTATACGACTAGGATGCTCACTGTCAAACTACGAAAAGGCGCGATCTAAACGGAATGTATGTATCATTTTAAATCCCAAATTATAAAAACAATTGTGACATTTCAGCATACTTGCACAGGGTTCTTTTGAAACTTGTTTTTTATTTTATTTTACGACCAACAAGTGATCCTGCAACAAACGTCATGGACGCTTCCGGTATCAAGCAAGCGCTCGGCCTCTTCTTGACGCAACTTCCCGATGAAATCATACTTGAAGACCATGAAACGGTACGCCACTCCGCGCGACCTCCCTTCATGCGTACATATGTCACGAGGTAGATTGAAGACGCTCTGTCGAGGTTGCGTGTGGCCTTGCAGAACATGTGCACATCGACCCCAGCGTTCTGGAAGCTCGCTCTCGTAACGCGCATGAAGGACCTCGTGCGTGACAACATGGCATCGATCATCGAAGGCACGGTCGAAGGCGCGATGCAGGTCGATCCGTCGTGGATGACCTTGGCAGCTCCAAACGACGACGTGCCTGACACCAACAATCCGTTGGACGCAATCCTCGACGACATGCTCGCAAAGCATCCTGTCGCGTTCCTCAACCTTCAGCGCCAGCTGTCGGACAAAGTGGCGGCGGACGTCCGAGGCATCATGGACTACCTGCAGAAACATGTCAAGTCCAGCGCCGACCTCCATCAACTCTTCAGAGACAGTGCGAACACGTTGGTGAACACCGTCGACACCACTATGCCGTCCACCCGGCCAATTCACCAGACGCAACCGCGTCGAGACACTCAAGTGTTTAGCCTAGACAACTTGGGCGACGACGACGAAGAATGGGGGTACATAGCGTTGTGCTTGCTGGTGTGTCGCATTCTACGGGCATGTTCATATCGTAGGGATGGCCGCGGGGAAGGCGCGTCGGAGTTCTCGATGGACGCCATGATTAGCCGAATGCAGCCGCAGCATAGCTCGAATGTTTCGTCCCGTGCAGACTTTATTCAACACCTTGAACGCGTAATGAACGAACTAGCCATGACCATCCATCCTGTCATGTCCTTCCAGTTGTTCTCTCATTGTTAAGTCGCGTAGATTCCTATCGATCGCATTGTTGACGCCGATTCAGACCTACTTCGGTTTTGCAACGCTCTCGTGCCACTCTTCTTCCACGTCGACATTTGCGACAGAGTCGTCGCGTTCTACTGGAAACTTGTCCACGCGACCGACGACGACATTGCGATACAGTGCACGTTGTACGTCGACTTGATCGCAACGCTTTTGGCACTGTCGCCGTCGTGTTTGTTTCTGCGAAAGCAGTCGGTTGAACGTGGGGCCCCGGGTACCCAACCGCGGCACCACCACCATCACCACCCCCCCGACGACCACCAGCGCCCCCTTCTAAGCGTCAGTCGCCTAGTCTATTCGTTTCTCAAGCTGCTACCAAACAAGTGGATCTACGCGCCGAACGAGGTCCGCGCCAACGCCATGTTGGCGACCTGTATGTTCCTCTGTCATTCCGTCGACGATGTCGCAGTTTTCAGCCACGGGGGGGGGATCTCGTCGGAAGCCCCCAAGTCATCCTGTGTGTTGCCGCCTTCGAGTCTGTTGGCGTACTTGGATGCCCCGAGTCTCTGGTTCATGTAAGGGTATATATATATTGAACAGCTTCCAGTATAGAATCTCACACACTTGTGTAGGCAGTGGCAGTTGAAGAGTCCAGTGAAACAACAGTGGCTTCGCATCGTGGTACAAAGTGGTTTATTGAGGCACTTGGTCGCTCGGCTAGTGTTTGCCCACAATCGAATGGACTTGTGGCGCAAGGTCCACCGGTCGGCTTCCCCTCCCGCCGCCGCCGTCCTCAGCCGTCGTCAAAGTGCCAAAGCAGCGACGGTGAATGTACCCCCCCAACACCCATCGACCTCTCACACGTACGGCGTACTGCACCAACGCCTATTGATTCAAGTACGTACTAATAATTAATATATTGGTTCGGAATAATATCGACAAAAGTTCCCTGAAATGTGCCTAGACGGTGCACATGCTAGTTGCCGTACTGCCCCATTCGACGATTCACGATGCGTTTCCAGTTGAGGTGACCAACCCGTACAAGGAGTCGCCTACTCGACGGACGAAGGAATCGCGCGCCGCCTGCCTCGAACCCGATGAAGCCACGAATAATCTCATGTTCAACCTATCTCGGGAGACTACTAGTACTACTCCTGGTAGTACCCCCCCCCAGCGTGATGTGTCGGACACTATAACCGTGTCGTACGATGCCGTTTGTCTGCATGCGATGCTGGTACACGTATTATATCGAACATAGTAGTTAGTAGTTTGTATGTGTCAACCTGGTGCAGATGTGCATGTTGGAAGGGTGGACGGCAGATTTGTGGGATGCGCAGCAGCCCCCCGCAAGTGCATCGACCTCGTCCGGTCCAGATTTCACCGACGCCCTCTTCTCACGCATTCGCAACCCAATCACTTATGTCACCCTATTGAATGTACGTACTGCCATACGTACTCTTACAGGTCGGCGGAATAGACATCTGACCCCAGTGAGTTTTGATATTCAAGGTACTCTCGACCAGCGTGGCTTCCTTTCAACGCGACCCTACGACCATTCCGCTGGCTCAAGATACAAACTCGTTTCGATTCCCGTACGAGGCATCATCGGGGAACATGTTTCAATCTGGCCACAGCAAGGCGCAGCTGATGCATTTTGTGACCAACGTCATTCCTCGACAGGTCAACACCACTACCACCCCCACCACCGCAGCCATACATTGTCGCATACTAGCCAACATCACACACAACTGGCTACCGCGAGTCATCCGCGCCGCCATGTCCTCCCCTTCCCAAGGCATTTGCGAGTGCGTTGTGGTGTTGCTAAGTGAGCAATGGTGCAATGTGGACATCGTCAAGGCCGTGGCCGCGTCCGTGTCACAGACGCCGTCGCCGCTTTTGCACGTTCTCCGAATTCCATCGTTCGTGCCAGCGATGCGTGCGCATGTGATAGGTCTTCCCGCGGCGGATCGAGAGCTCATCGTGTCGGATCTATGCGGGACAGCCCTTGGCTTACTCCACTTTCACGACTTGCTGGTTCCGCAGGCCCCCCTCCTCGACGCGACGTGGGCCCCCCCGCCGCCCCGTCGGTCGATGCTTCGCATTTGTCAACTGGCAAACGTACCGGCCGTTGCCAAGGGATGGTTAGAACACCCGACACGACTTGAGCGGTGGCGCCAGGCTTTCGAACGCATCCAGGACCACCCGGACGGATTAGAGGCAGTTTACGGGGACTTGGCCCAGTGTCCGTACGACCTTCGCACGGAAGTGCACGACTGGTGGCACTTTCGACGGCTTTGTGCGACACCGTATGCCGCCCACGCTGCGTTTCCCCCACACAAAGTGTTTGGACCACGATGCGACGACGTCCAAACGTACTTGATGTCAGTGTTTTGTTTTGACTTGTCTGCGACAACGTTTGACGGCGCCGAGGCTGTTTGTGACAAGTACATGGAATCCTGGTTTCCGCCGTGCACGTGTCATCGTCGTCGTCGTCCCCCCACCCACTCTGAAGATGCGACCACCAACGACGACGACGACGGGGTGGATCAGTCGACTACTGGGTGCATGCTGGACCCGCCAAGTTGGATGCAGCACAGTGTCCGGCAGATCCTCGCTGGCGTGGGGGGTGCCCATGAATGGAAACGAAGCTGTTCTATGGACACGCTCCCGTCAGTCCCGGGGGTCCCTTGCAACCCCGACACCAATCGGGTCCTTCAAGATACAACTGCCGCCGCCGCGTTGACAGCGCTGCATCTGTCTGTGCAGCAAGTGCTGGAGCGTGTGGCTGCCTCGACATCGTCGTTGGACTTTCACGAGCACGTCGTCGATGCATTGTGGCACACGCTAGACTGTTTAGAGGACATTTGGGGCGTATCGACGTCTGGGCCAAGTGTGGAGATGACTTCGTGGATGGGGGATATTCTGTGGGCGGTCGTGTGCAGTGGCACCAGTCGATCGAGTTCCAGACTCAACGAATCAAACGTACGACAGAAGCAACCCACTGCCGACGCCGACGACGGCAGCGTCGATCGAGCTCTGTCGTGGGCCAACAAGTGGATGAAAGCGTACACAAGACGAATCTATCATCCGTTTTCGAGTGCCGAGGGCTGCAGTAGCAATAGCAGCAGTAGCACTCTGCTTCGAACGCTCTTCCAAGCGATGGGGACCGCCGCCGCCGATCCATTTGTATGGACCTGCGTCATGATGTTTGCAGCTCGGAAGGTCGACGCCGAGGTCGTGACCTTTTTTACGACGCTGCGAAACCACGACAATATGGCAGCGTACTTGTGGCCCCAACTACAAGGACATGTCCACTTGAACCGGCCGCTGACGCGCGTGGCGGCTGCCGTCGAGTTGATTCTCCACGCTGACTTTCCCCATGTATGGTAGATATACCATGCGTTGTACTTCTCTCCCCCCCGTCTATATATATGTATATATAGATATGTGAGATACAGTGAAAGCAAGAGGGGGGAAGGGGGGGTATTCTTCTTCCCTTTTAGTCGTTGTTCTTCATCCAACGACCTAGAATGTGTGGTGGGTGGACTGATGGTGTGTACTGGCCTTGTAGATCGAACTGGCGTTGCGTCGCCTCGACTGTCCCGTGCTCAGTCTGGTGCTTCGGTGGCAACAAGGATGCTTTTGGAACGTGCTCAACTGGGGAGACATCATGGGCTTTGTCACGCTGGTGTGTGTGCACGGCGTCGACAGCCTCGTCTACTTGTACGTGGTTGTGCTGCACCACATCGCCACGCACCAGCTGGACGCGGTCGCGACGGGTGCCGCCCTCCTGCAGCTCCAGATCACCCCGCGGTTAAGCTGGAGTGCGTACCGGCCCCTCTTTAACCGACTGCGCAAAGCCCACTATGAGCTCGTGGCTGAAATCCTCGCCCAACCTGTCCAGTCCGATGCAACCCCCCAATACACCCACGGCATCGCAGGTTCGAACCTAACATCAAACTCGCCAACGGCCACCAAGTCGGAAAAGTACCTACGTAGTACCTAGGTAGTACCTAGCGTCCGTACGTGGTGGACCGGTAGTTGCGTTAACTTGCAATCGAGTACATATCCTGGTGTGGACGAAACACATAAGGAGGAGGTCGAGGAGATAGGACGCTCTATTCTTTCATGGGACGAGCTTAATGCAAGACGGCGAGTTTCTTCTTGATCTTGCCGATGGCCTTGGCCGGGTTCAAATGCTTGGGGCATGTCTTGGTGCAGTTCATGATGGTGTGGCAACGGTACAACTTGTACGCGTCGTTCAGGTCTTCGAGGCGCTCGAGGGTCTTCGTGTCGCGCGAGTCTTCGATCCAGCGATACGCTTGCATGAGCACGGCCGGACCAAGGTACTTGTCGGGGTTCCACCAGTAACTTGGGCACGACGTGCTGCAGCATGCGCACAAGATGCACTCGTACATGCCGTCAAGTTTCTTGCGGTCCTCCTTCGACTGCAGGTACTCGGTGTTGTCCGACTTGACCACATCCGACTGCAACCACGGCTTGATCGACTTGTATTGCGCGTAAAAGTTGTTCATGTCGGGGACCAAGTCGCGGATCACATACATGTGCGGCAACGGGTAAATCTTGGTCGTGTCCTTCTTCTTGTCGATGGGGCTCAGGCATGCCAACGTGTTGCCGCCGTCAATGTTCATCGCGCACGACCCGCAGATACCTTCACGGCATGAGCTACACATGACACGAGTTAGCATACAAGGACGCTAGTGAATGGACGGGACAACCGGCGGAACGTCAAGGTCGGGTCTTGTTCGTTCTTGATCTTGATCAACGCATCCAACACCATGGGCCCGCATTCATTCAAGTCCACGGGGTACGTGCACAAGTACGGCTTCTCCTTGGACTCAGGGTCCCAGCGGTAGATCTTGAAGTACTTGACGTTCTACAGAGGGAGCACGATGAGAGATGTAAGCTACATGGCTTGTAACATAGCTAAGTACCTTGGCGGTCGTCGAGGTTTGGAGCTTCAAGTCCGACGCAGCCGTCGACAAGGCACGGAGGCTGGAAGGCGTGGCGGCGCGGGCGGCACGGACGGCGGTGCGTTGGAGCATACTTGGAGTATTAGCTGACTGCCACAAATTCACACCCAATCCCCAACGATGTGGCAGGCAGGTTATCCGGATAGCCAGCCGACAAACCAGTCAAAACGCCAGCTAAGTACGCTAACGACTCGGTAAAGTACGGATTTGACTTCAGGTTCATTCGTAGCCTACTGTACTTTGTTTCAGCCGAGAAAGCAACAGGCCAATCACCGGATTTCTAGCCTATTTATAGATTTCGGGGTTTCGGGGTTTAGATAAGTACTTCACAGTCAGTGCTCCGGTTTAAACATGTGTCGTGCTGGACCCGTCGTTGTTGTGTAACGCAAACTCTAAACGTCATTGATCGAAGTATTGTGAATTCGCTATAAACTTCCAAAATTTGCCTGGTTTGTCGAATCAATATTGAACCACGCCGGAGTTCTGGTTGGTTGAATGTACTTGTCGTTTCTGCAAGAGCCAATCAAATCCACTCAAAAATGGATTAGCCAATAGCGTCGATTGGGTCTAGAAATTCGTAGCGAATCCACAATAACGTTAGTACTGATATTACATGTGGACCGTGCAGTTTGTACATACTTCGAAGTACATATTATTGACGATATACGCTTGTCTGATTATGAGCATATATATTTTTAGCTTTTTCCGTTTTGTTTTTACATCGCTGGTTCCTTTCAACCCGAACGCCGCCGCCCTTGAGCGCAGGCGTCGCAACCGTGCCGCTGGACATATAATAGATTGAGAGTGGCCTGCCATCCTGACATTGTAGAAATAATGTTGGATGCATGGTCGAAAAATATTATATTCTCTTGATGGCAAGTATTGTACACCGGTAGAATATGGGGTTGATGGTACAGTATGGCGTTAAATATCAAAATCGTTGGGGTGGAGGGTGGACAGTTCATGTGGCAATATACGACACCCCCCACAGGAGACTCTTGTAGCACAAGGCAAAGGCCACAATTTGCAGTACATACTCTCGCAACCAGTCGTCAAGGAGGACCTTGAACCACCGCAACCCCAGGCGGCGCCACTGGAGCATCGACAGCACATGTCCGTCCACCGTGCATCGAATGGGGAACCCACCCATGTTCGAGTCGACTTCTGACCGCCTTCTCTTGAGCACGACGACCATTTCCCCGCGGGAGAGTCGGCTGTTCGAAGGGATGAGTGTAGTCGCGACGTGGTCAATTTCAAACGTGTCTTGGACAGACGGCAGGGCGCGGCGACACAATGGACACGTGGCATCTCGCTTCATCCACTCGCGGATGCATGACAGGTGGAAGCCATGCCCGCAAGGAAGGTGGTGAGGTGGACTGGAGCAAAAATCGATGTCACCGCAAGACTCCCAACAAATCGCACACGAGGTCGTCTTGATGTGATGTGCGTTATCCTCTTCGTTGAGACGGCGTTGCTCAAGCACGTACGACGGTAGCACGCGGCGCATGGCGGGTCGAATTGCAGTCGTTTGGAGCTGCTGGAACAGCACCGGGTTGTGGAAAAGTTTGGTGATGGACTTGAGGTTCGACGTGTACGCGAGGTCAAAGCGAATGTGCGGAGCATCTCCGTTCAAATGAAACGTCGGATCCTTTAGACGTACGTACTTGCTCGACACATGGACAGGGACAACCAGCGCTGTTGCCACGATGCGACTGCCCAGGTCCAAGAGTATATCCAAGAGTACGGCTTCCAACGTGGAGAAGTTGCAGAAGAAGAAGGCCACCGTCGCCACCAAGCCGTGCAGCACACGCACGCCAGGGGGCCCCACCACCATCCTGTGGACTCTTGCAATGTGCCCTATTGGCGAGTCTTGAGATTTGCGCCAGTTGCAACTGTGGCGGCCAAACCGCCCAACGGTATCAAGATTTCGACTAAGTGCGAGATCTTGAAGGGGCATTGCAATTCAAATTACGTACTTAGACGATACGTTCCTAAAGCCAGGTAATTTTGTCGAAATTTCAATGGCAATACGCGGCCCAATTAGTGTACGACGACAGAACATCATTGCTTTTGTGACGAGTTGATAACGTAAACGATCAATTCCGTGCGCGATTTCTGAAATGTCCATGACTTGAACGACTCTATGTCCTGGAGACATGCTCCAATTTTCACGATTCAAATCGCATTCGATTCAAATCGGCTGGATTTATGGATTGCTGAAGGAATTATCGGCTTTGACGAAGAATCGAAGTGTGCAGAGCAATTTTCGTGGTCAAAAAGGCATGATCAATTCCGTGCGCGCTTTCAATCATCTTGGATTTTGTATTGTGTGTTTTGTGGGTCAAGGAGAGGGTTAGGTATTCATTCTCACAGTGAAATATGAATAATGACAATGTATTGAATCACAGAGGAACGTTGTCCCGCACCAAAATATAACCGTTGCTTCCAACGACAACCCGCAGGTATTTGGATATTAGCCATCAAATACCTTACTATATAAGGTAGTTTGGTTTGAAAATGGCCCAATCATTAACCTGTTAGCAATCAAATACCCGACACCTTCCGTTAAATATCCAACACGTTTTGTGGACACTTATTCTAATCAAGTACAGACAGAAACACATACTTCGAAGTATTAAACTGTGATTTCCTGCACAATTCGGGCTACCAACTTCGCCTTTCCTTTGCCCTTCCTACTTTTTGACGCGGCCTTCAGCGCTTTCTTAGCCGCAGTCGCAGCTGCC